AATCCGGCCTCACACCCTTACGAGCTGTGTGACCCTGGGCAAGTCACTTCACCCTCTCTGCCTCAGTTTCCTCACCTGTAAAATGAGCTGGAGAAGGAAACGGTAAACCACTCCGGTATCTCTGCCAAGGAAACCCTCAATGGGGTCACGGAGAATCGAACAAGGCAGAAATGACTGAGGTGGTGGCGTGGGGAAAGACCTCTGGCAAAGCTGCCCCTGGGGGGGTGAGCCCTGAAGGATGCCAGAGCTTCTCTGGAGCGGAGGGGAGGAGGAAGAATCATCCAGGCAGGAGAAAGCAGAAGGACACACAGATGGAAAAGCACCGGCCCCGAGGTCAGGAGGAGCCGAGTTCAAATCCGGCCTCACACCCTTACTAGCTGTGTGACCCTGGGCAAGTCACTTCACCCCAACTGCCTAAAAACTAAAAAGAAAAAAGGCCCACAAAGGCTTGAGCCAGGAGAATGGGTGAACAGCCAAGGGCTCCACGCAGAAGATAAGCCCCCTGAGGGAAGGCCTGGCCTTGGCGTCTAGTCGGGAGCTTCACACACACGAGGTCCCGCACGGACACCTCCGGGACAGGACCGGAGAATCGGAAAGAGGAGGCCTCGGCGGCAAGATCGGGAGCCCTGCCCCGAGGGACCCCCGACCCCCGACCCCCATCGGGAGAAACTGAGGCGGGGGCCCAAGGTCACCGGGGCCTCGGCCCGCACCCGCCCACTCACCGCGCGTGGGGCGCCCACGGCCCCGAGCCCGCGCGCCGACACCGACAGGGACACGGCCCAGGCCGCGCGGGGCCTCAGGAGAACGGCAGCCATCGAGTCCTCACGGCCGGAGGGCGACTTGTCCCGGGAACAGGCCTCCACTGTCCAGGGAAGGCAGCGACCTCCGCGCCTTCCGGTGTCGCCCGGAAGTGACGTAACGAAAGCGCCGCAGCAGGCGGAGAAACGAAGCGAAGGGAGGGCGGGGCTGGGAGCAGGGCTAAAGAGGGGAGGGGCTAGGAGCACGGTAGAAGGGGAGGGGAGGGGCTAGGAGCAGGGGGCGGGACTGAGAGCGGGGTTGGGGGGGAGAGGAGAGGCTGGGAGCAGGGAAAGGGGAGGAGCTGAGACCAGGGGTAAGAGGAGAGGGGTGGGGCTGAGAGCAGGGGGAAGAGGAGAGGGGTGGGGCTGAGAGCAGGGTGAAGAGAGAGGAGGGGCTGAGAGCATGGTGGGGAGGGGAGGGGCGGGGCTGAGAGCAGG